GTTTTTCTTTTTTTTTTCGAAGTTTGGAATGTGAACTGGTCATTTTGCTACCTTTGAGTGGGTTCTACACTAGCTTTTCAGTCGTGTAGGCACCTTTTCAGAATAAATATGAGGGAATGGTAGTAGGTTAATGAGACCTATGCAAAACATGGAAAACAACAACTAAAAACATGCAGAGACACATAGTAGTGTGAGCTCTTACTGTATTTCTGCACTTTACCATATAGTAGTTTGAATTATTTACTGAGAAGATGCTGATGGAGGTGTGGTTCTTTTTTAAAACAAGAAGCTTTGTTTAGCCTTTTTTCTGGTTTTGAAGGACAGATAAATTTTGGAGACAAATGTCTGTACAAAAGTGAAATGTATTTGAAAGCAACCAATTGCTAGAGATAGTATTTCACTTAGTTTGATAAAACTATTAGAAGAATAGAATTAAATAATAGGTTATGCCATTCTGAGATTTATTTTGAGATACCGTGCTTGGAGATAACAGGAATTATTTTGATAAATACAAATAATATACAGTTACTCTATGGGGAAGCTTACACATACATGTGGAGACCCATATGCACTCTCCAAAGTAGGGTAGTCTTATGTAATTAGATTACATGGAACAGAGACAGCCAAGACTGTAGCCCTGTCCTTCAACCTATTGAAACATTTCAATTATTACAGTGTGAATACACAAATCCCTGGGATCAGACCCTTAATGTACTATTTTGACACAATCAGACCACTTAAGTATTTCGTGAAGTCGATGGACAAATTAACTTTTCACAATTTCTGCATACGTAATTTCTTGCTTCAATAGTGTGATTTCTATAAAACAGTCTCTTTAATTCTTGGGTCTGGGATTGTATCCTACTTCTGTTCAAGCCAATGGCAAAATTGCTGTGGGAGCAAGACTGGGTCTGTAATTAAGTTAATAGGGTCGAGTGTTATTACATTGTTGAATTGGCACTCAATGCCATTAACATCAACCAACCAACCAAAAAAAATCTTTAACAGTGACTAATGTAAGGCAGTATTAAATGTTGGTTTTATAATACTTTATGAGGGAGTGATAAAGCAATTGAAAAATTAATCATAAGGGAAAATATTGGAATTTGAAATATAGTCAGAGGAGTCATTACAGTTCATTAATTTATGTGTAAATACTGATGTTTTCCAGTGGAATTATAAAATACAAGTGAAGCGAAATGGCTGTTTTTATTGAAGGCATTTTGCCATTATCATCAGATGGAATTTAATTTGTTTACAGACTCAGTATTGGGCTGATCCACATGGAGAACTATTAACAAACAGGGGCTCTTCCTCCTCTTATGTAAAGCAGCAATTCCAGTTACCGTGATAGAAGTGCTCAAGGAAAATGTGGAAAGAGTGAAGGATTTATTGTTGTTTTGCCCGTTCACTGAAGTAATGGCATTAGAAAGAACTACATAAATAGCAAATCAGTAAGACTATGTCAGTGGGTTACACTTCTGTCTTGACAGCCTTACTGATGGGCTCTGGCAGAAAGCAAAGTTGAATACTGCATGAGAAGCATCATTGTTTTGATACGCATTCATTACTTGCTGTAGACTTGTGTGCTACCTACATTCTGCCTGTTTATGCCAGGAATAATGCATATGGGAGGGAGAATGGCCAAAACAGGAGTCGTTAATGCTAAAATGGGCAGGTTGCATACTGGAACGGCCCAATCTGTAGAAGCCACCTGAATCGGGACACGAACTCCCTAGGTTGCTGGGTTTCAAGTGCGGCTCAGTGCCAGCGTTTGGCTGCTTGAGATAGTTTGGACATGCAGTTGGATTTTTTTTACTGATACATAGATGGTCCTACTGATGAACTATGCCTTAGTCTACGTTCATTTCAAAGAAAAGCAAACAATCTTTTTGCTAATTACTTTTATCTATTACTGTCATGACTGGTGTCTTTTCCGGTGTCATGGTGCTGCTGAAGTGTGATCACTCTGAGCTGAAGACTGCACAGCTAGAGGTGAATTCATACTTCTTGCCCTGAAACAGCCTTGTTTAAGGATGAAGTTGTTCCTTCTGTAGGGTGGAAATGGGATGCTGGGGTGTAAGATGAAAATGCAGTTTGTACTAAACCAGTGTAGGTATAGCTTAATTCTTCTAGAAATAAGCACAAATCCCATGTATATCACTACTTCCTTGCTACTTCTCCTGTTTCAAGTAGGTGTAAATGTTCCAGGGAAGAAAGTAATGGTATATGTGTGGGAAAGGAATTTGCAGGTGGCTTCGCGCTGTTTCACACATCCCTGAATTAGAGATAATGAGGAAACAAGTGGTAGAAGCAAAAACCTGAGCAAGGTTGAGATAAAGTAAATTGGCTACATCTTTAAAGATGAGCTTTGGGCGGTGACAAATTGCTGGTTGGCTCCAGGCGCGTCTGAGGGTCCCTGACCAATTTTATGATAGGTTTGGGCGTGTGGACAGTGCATGGGGCTACAGGGAAAGTATATGTAGTAATGAAAAAGGGCAATAAACGTCTTCTGTTAAAGAGCCATCGGGCTCATGAAGAGTCCATGTCTTGCATCCCTTCGTATATGTATGTTGGTATCCCTTTCTTAAGAGAGAATAAACATCATTTGGCTTTGAGTTTAGCGCTTGAGTGCTGTAAAATTCAGTCAGATATATTTACTTGTAAGGCCTTGAAGTTGTTTTGAAGCCTTAGCAAGAGTTGGCTGAGATGCGTGTTATGAGACAAGTGATGATTTCATAGGTATTCAGTACAGGTAGGTATTCAACTTCTGTATGTGCTTTAGCAGATGGATGCATTTCAAAAGAAACACAGAAGTTGTCAGTGATACAAATGAATACAAGGATTGCAGTGTATCAGGGTGACCCTGGATCAATAGCTGTGCATTCCTAATGCTATGGGACAGTGAAAAAAAGTCTTGGTATTTTTCTCCTTCTTTTGTAAAACCACATTGCAGAGACTGAATGTTTTACAAATGCCATAGAAACTCAGGTGACCCATCTTGGATATTTTATTTTTAAAGGCCATGTATGAAGCAATTTTTATTTATATGTATGTGTATATATGCGTGCGTGTTTATAAAGTATCAGGTTACACTACAGTTGAAACAGTTTGCATGTTAATTAAAGCACTGAAAACTTGCAGCACTGAAATGGACAGAATGACTATACAGCTTCTTCAGCAAATTAAATTATGCTGAAGTTTTGGATGTTGCTTTGTTGTGGGACATTTATTTTTTTTTTTAAACGTGATCCAGCTCCTACTTAACTTGACAGAAAATTCTTTTTGACTCCAGTTAGAATTTTGGACCAGGATCTAACTATGTAATTACTTGTGTATTAGAGTTATATTTCTGCTTTACAAACATGGCAATTTGTGGTGCTGCTTTTGCACTGAAACGTTAGAGACCGTCTTTGGTGTGGCTGGCTTCTAACTCTATTTTCCATTAAGGCTGTATTATCAAAGACAAATAGTTACATGTCAGTAATTAACTATGGATTTTAGGAAATTCTTCTTAGCTGTTCTATTAAATGTGTTAATTTTTCATGACAGAAGAGTTGGCATGGTTTGATGGAACAGAACCCAGCTTGAAACCTGAGTCTTTATGACCCTACTTAATTGTTATTACATCACTCACTCCTCTTTGCCTTCTGGAAAAGAAAAGAGAAACTGGCAGAATACAATTCATTAATTCTTTTATAACTTTCCCAACTGATAATATTAAAATCAGTTTCATTAGTCATTGTAAAAACATTCCCAATAAATGGTGACATTAATTTGAAGTTGCTGGTGGTTGTTGTTGTATGGACAAGAATCATTGCTGACCCAATAGTAAGTCCTATGAAAACAATTGGCATACTACGTTTATTTTAAAAGGAACTTGACTGACTCTGGAAAATGAGATATTGAGAAGCTGTATCTCTGGTCAAGATCAAACGATCTTATGAGAATAAAGCATTTTTGCATTAAGAAGGACTAAATAAGACATGCCAATTTAAGTGCAAAATTCAATTTTAATGATCAAAATATCTAAAGCTAAAGGGTAAGCTAGTTTTCCTTTGTTAGTGGTAAGAATTTTAGATCTAAACTTTCACTTTAACATAAACACTGTTTTCCAAAGGTGCCCATGCCTCAGTAGTATTAAACTTTACTTTGATGCAGAAAGGATATTTTTCAAATTCAAATTATGTTAGTAAATGTTAAGTCTCTAATGTATTTTTCAGTACTGGTTTTGGCGTTTTCTTAGGAAGAGACAAGACGAAATCTTATGTAACGCATTTTTTTGTCTTGTAAATTTTTTAAGAGCTAGGTATATGCCAAAATTATATGCGTATGTTTACTAGTTTGAATTGGTCTGATTGATCAAAAAGCCATTTTAAAACTACATGTGTGCGTCTATAAATCTTGTCATAAAAGTACACATATATATGTTTATATTTACGGGATATAAAAACAATAATTAAATCTTTAATAGCTTTAATGAATAGTGGTGTTATTTTAAGACAATAGAAAGCACTCCAGATTCTCTAGATCAGTTTGTTATTTTTAATCCATGAAGGACCCAAATATATAGCATTTCTAAGTCACACATCACAGCTGTTTTCAGAAGAGATGCTTTAATGTGGAAGAACAAGATACTTTCCAGTGCTGCTCATCAACATGCCTGGTGTCCTGCAGTGTCGAGTGTTAGAGATTTAAGTTTGTCAGTGATATCACGGAAAGTTCTGTGACAACGTTATGGTAGGATCAAAACCCAAATGTTTATTTTATTGATATTTTTCCCTTGGATCATGATGTATTTGTTTTGGAAGCAAATCTGCTACCTAGGTATCATGAAGTGTACAGTATCAGTTGCTTCAGTATTGAGCTTCCTTCACACTACTGTAGGATTAATAAACCAAACACTAGTCTACGCTTTTTATTAAAAATTCCTTTTGCAGTCCCCAAACCAATGATGCCTAAATAGTAATCAAATTCTCTCTCTTTTTTTTTTTTTCCAGGTTTTTTAGCGGATTCCCATTGGCTCTGCCAAGAAAATTGGATCTAGACACTTCTGTTTGAGAATATGAAACAAACAGAAGAATGTGTGTGGATTTAAAATCACTGTATTTATCAAGTTGTGGAGTGAGAAGTATTGGAGAAATAGCTTGCTCTGTCGCTCATTGTAGGTCTACAAATTGTTTCTGATGCAGCTGAGAAAAATGCAGACCCTTAAAAAGGAACACGGACCTGTTGACACAAGTAGCAATGTGGACAAAATCATGGTACTTAAGTCTACTTTAGCAGAAGTGTCTGAAGAGTTGTCCACAAATGAAGATATACTACTTACTGAAGCAAGTAGTGGAAAAAGCAAATCTTCAGCTTGCCGGAGAAAGCGTGAATTCATTCCAGATGAAAAGAAGGATGCTATGTATTGGGAGAAAAGGCGGAAAAATAATGAAGCTGCCAAAAGATCTCGTGAAAAACGACGACTGAATGACCTTGTCTTAGAGAACAAACTAATTGCACTGGGAGAGGAGAATGCCACTTTGAAGGCGGAGCTGCTTTCATTGAAGCTAAAGTTTGGTTTAATTAGTTCTGCAGCCTATGCCCAAGAGATACAGAAACTCAGCAGCTCGACAACTGTGTATTTCCAAGACTATCAAAGTTCCAAATCAAACATTAACTCATTTGTAGATGAACATGAACCGTCTATAGTTGGTAGCAGTTGTATTTCTGTCATTAAGCATTCTCCTCAAAGCTCTATGTCCGATGTGTCTGAAATGTCATCAGTAGAGCATACTCAGCCAAGTCGTATACAGAGCAGCTGCAGAAGTCCTGAAAATAAGTTCCAGATTATAAAACAGGAGCCCATGGAATTAGAGAGAGAGCCAAGAGATGACAGAGGTTCCTATAAAGCATCCATATATCCAAACTACATGGGAACTACCTTTAACGTGTACTCACATTCTCCTCCTCTCTTGCAAGTTAATAGATCCTCCAGTAATTCCCCCAGAACTTCAGAAACTGATGATGGTGTTGTTGGAAAGTCATCTGATGGAGAAGATGAGCAGCAGGTTCCGAAGGGTCCAATCCATTCCCCAGTTGAACATAAAAACGTTCGTGCAACAGTTAAAGTTCCTGAAGTGAATTCTTCAGCTTTGCCTCACAAGCTTCGAATTAAAGCCAAAGCCATGCAAGTTAAAGTGGAAGCAATGGATAATGACTATGATGCCACACAGAAATTATCATCACCTATTGATATGTCCTCAAAAAGACATTTTGAGCTTGAAAAACATGGTGCACAGAACTTGGTGCATTCTTCTCACACTCCTTTCTCGGTTCAGGTGACTAACATCCAAGACTGGTCACTCAAACCGGAACTCTGGCATCAAAAGGAACTCAATGTAAAAATTCAGAGTGGTTGCAAAACTGGAGTTGTTGAAATAAAAGACAATATCTACAATGTCTCTGAGTCCGAAAACCTGTATTTGAAGCAGGGGATAGCAAACTTATCTGCAGAGGTTGCTTCACTTAAAAGACTTATAACTACACAACAAATCTCTGCGTCAGACTCTGGTTAAGTTACTACTGAGTAAAGGCTTACTGTTTTAAAGGATGTCATTTGCAGTAGATAAATATGTTTTGTATGATGCTGAATTTTCACTGGACTTGTGACGTCATTTCACTGTAATGTTCACATAATGTCTGATTGGTGTCCTTCTGTGCACAAATTATTATGAAGACTAGGTTGTGCTATGATCACTATGCCTTGTGTATAGTCAAGTAGCCTGTACAAAGGCTGTATATAGTGAACTTTATTTTCTTTTTATTGTTCTACTATAAAGTGTGGAAGTTACCAGTTACAATAAAACATGGATTGGTGACAAACACAGGACATCTACTCCAGTTCAGTTGATTTTAAGAACTTGTAAATAAGTTGTTAATTACAAAAAAAGCAAAAAGAAAAAAAAAAGAAAAAAGAAAAAAAAAGGCTTTTTCTTACACTGTGCTCAACTTCACTTACAGGTTTGGTTTTTACAGCTTAACTTAACCAAATTACAATTTACAACACATGTAAACCTTCTGGCCACCTTTTTCCTTAACACTTTTTTTAGAGGAGAATAGAAATAAAGTGGATATTTATAAATGAAACATTAACAATTTATAGCCTTAGCCTTCTTTAACTTATTTGTTAGTATAAGTTAACCAAAAACCACACAAAGTCTGTCCTGGTAGCTCTAATATCAACAGTAACCTTCTTCTCCTTTTTTCTCAAATAAGAGAGTAATGAATTTCCTGAACGGTTTATTGTGACAAACCATTTTTTTATTTCAGTCTTATAACTTGGTGTTTTAGATGAAATTAGTTGTATTGGATTTGTGCATCTTATAAGTTTTTCAGAGCCTTGCACTGGTAGAATTAGACACCACCATCTTTGTCAAAGGGTGGTTTGTGTGTGCAAGGGGTGCAGGCACAGAAGGAATTCTGCACAAAGGCTGTGTAAAAGCATCTGTCCACCCCATGGTTCTTTTCACAACAGAGCATGGGCCACCTTCAGATGAAGGATAAGGCTCCCTGAAATGTAAACTCTGTGCTCAACTAGGCAAATACCTACGTAAGGAGCAGGCAATAGCGGTAGCAGAGTTAGAGGAGATCATCTGCTACCATGTTCCCACCATGGGAGACAACACAACTTTAAGCATGAAGTAAGACTTACCACCAATTTGGCTTCAGTTTCAATGGTTTAGCTAAGTGAACTGGAATACCCTGGCTTACTACAGGGCGTTTTGCAAGAATTTCTTAAATGTATATTAGAGAATATGTGGAGAACAGTGCAACCCAGATTCTACCCTTGCGATTTACGCAGATGATGGGTTCTTCACCTGATGACTTTGGAGTTCTTTATCTTTGAGAAAAGCCATTGAACTGTGGAGACTAGAATTGCATTATATACCCTTTGTTTGGCTTACCAAAGCCTTTCCTTTAAAAATAAAAAACAAGTTATAAATAGAGCATAGATTTGGCAGAGGTCCTTTTCATGCTAATTCCACCTTCTTTTAAAGTACTAATAAATCAGACTAACAAATAAGCACTTCCTGAAAAGGCTTTTTATTAATTGCCATGCTGTATAATAGAATCTTACCATAGACTTAAAATACTAATTAAGAAAAAATGTAGGTAGTGGTTTTTAAATTCATACTTGACTTGAGTGAGAGGAAGTTTGTCAATTTTTTGGGGATATGAAAAGGAGTCTGAGTTACTCCTCATAGCTCTGAAGCTTGGTCCAGCAGTCAAGGCAATGGCAAAACTCCCTGATGTCAGCAAGGCCAGGATTTGATGCTGTATCTTTTCAGGAGCTGATTCACAGTCATGTTCTGGGAGGACCTTGGCACAGACATCACTGGTACTTTCTGAGCTTTTTTGAGCCTTCTAACTGCTGTGCTGTATTTGTGGCATTCAGAGTTAATAAACTGTTATTCTTTTTTCATGCCTTAATAATACAATAGACCCCATAGTTGGGCTCTGTATGTATTTGGTAATTAATATAGATGACATTTCAATGTTACTGAAAATAAGCTCAGGATTATTGCATGAAATGTAAAAATTTGCATTGAATGATGGGGATATGAAACATGAGGCAGTGATTGCTACTGGCTCTTTGCTTGCTAAGTATCTTCTGTAAGCAACAACAAAATTCTTTAAATATTTTGCATATTATTTATCACATGTAATGTGTTCAAGGAGAGGACTTAAAACTCTCAGTGTTGCCATCTGTGTAAGCCTAGATCTATTGTTTTTTTTCCATTTCTTGTTACAGTTGTTTGTCATAATGGAAGAATGTTGTCCTCCTTCTAGCTCATTATATATTTTGTGTATCTGTTTTGTGCAATTAATACTTAACAGTAATGATGTAGTTAATTTGTTGAAGGATGTCATTGCAAGAAAGTTATAGCATGGAGCTTAGGAGCACAATCAGATGTTATTTATACTCCCTTTATACCTTAGTGTTATGCTTCATTTGAAGAAACAAATAAATAATTTGTCTTTTGTTCAAAACCAGAACTAATCACAACATGATTTTTTTGTACGTTCATCATATTAGTGCAACACGTACGCATTAGCAGGTGTTAATTCTCCACTTCTGCGGCAAAACTTCCTATGCTGAAGTTACTGCTGCTATGGCTGGAATTCAGAGTAGCTTGCACGAACTGAAGGTAGAAGACGAAGACGCTGGAGTGTGGGTGGTAAATACAAAGCCAGACTCTTGGCTACAGTTTCAAACTGTCCAGACGAAACTCTGGGTGGTTGAACTAAGGGTGGTGTAGCTGGCCCCTGCACCCTCCACACCCAAAGCTAGCCTGTTTTCCTTTAACACAGGTGCTATCAGGGAAGAGGACAAGTGGCACTGACTGGGGGGAGGGAGGAAATGCAGCGGGACCCTGCCACCGCTCCAGCTTTCAGCGGCTGTATGGACACACGTAGAAAGGAACAGAGGAGCTGGGGAGTCAGGTAGCTGTGTCCTTCCAGTCTGGCATTTCCTGTGTGGTAGAAAACTGCCTCCACTAAAAGGCTATCCTTGGCTGGTCTACTAGTCTCTCCATTGGGGATCAGAAGGTTTGTTAGAGCTCGTACTGGGCTTTATCTAAGCAGGTGCAAACTGGTATTGCAGCCTCTAAGCTGTAAGAACTCTTGTAAGCTCAGTGATTCACTGAGAAAACATGAAACATGCTGAAAGTGGAATCTTTCCCTTGCAAAGCAACACGGATGATTAGAAAGCAGCTGAAAACCGACTGTAGGGTCTACCTTCACATGGGAATATTAAGGAAGATCACACATGCAAAATGGAAACTCTAGCAACTTATCAGCATGAATTACTATTTTTGATAGGAACATAGGCATTAATCATGTTAGATTTGTTTGGCTAGTCCTGAATCTTGCCTGCAATAGAAACATGAAAATCTTCATGGAAAGTTTTAAGAAAAGCCAATGGCAAATAACTTGATTAACAAGGTAGGTTCTTTTTCCAGTGACATCAACTGGTGGTTAATAAATACTGTGAAGTGTAAGAGTCAGTTCCTCTGTTATATCCACCTAACTTTAGCTACCAACACAGTAATATATTATGTTCCATCAACATGTTTTGGTAGGTACAAAGATTAAATGTGGATATGCCCATATCTACACCAGTCCTATACATCATGGTTTTCTGAATCCCTTGAAACTGGCTTCAGTAAAACTTAAGTGGGGACATATATATTATAATATATATATGCATATATATATATATATGTATAATATTCTAAGATCTTATTAATAATATTCTGCATTTCCAAATATTCCCTTGTTCATGAAGAAGAGACAGGTAGCTGGTAACTCCCAATTCCTCTCCACTTAATATTCTGGATGTTTTCATTATAGCCCTTATGTTCACGTGCACAGTTTATGAGACTACATTTATTTTCTGTAGAAGTTAACAGAAATATAAAATTGCACCATAAACACATCTTTGAAGTTTTATGAAAATACCAACTTCAAAAACATCTTTTCTACTTGCTGGTATATAAATCTGGTTTTGAAAATAGGCTATATGCAATGAATTTAGCAGAAAATCCACAGAGAATCCAATTAATATGGCCTTTATTAACAACATATTGTTTTAAAAATACTTTTACAGTTTATTGCACAATACAAGCTTGGTAACTACAAGAATACAACAAAACAATTTTTGGTATTTATTGCATAAGAACGAGTAGCACATATTGTTCCACTGCAGTGCCAAGTTCACAGTTAAAAATACTAGGCCAAACCCGAAGGCCTTTAACTTAGTGTCAGATTGTACTTTCCTTACTTAAGCAGACTTTTTACGTGTGCAATAAGAGACTTACTCAAGATGAGTAACATTACCAAGACATAATCTTTGCTGTTCACTCATGGCACGTACTCATGCTGATTTTCATATCTCTGAGGCTAGCTCTCTTGTGACACAATAGTGATATGTGAGTCACTTAACTCATACCACTGGAATTACAGAGAACTTACTCACGTATGAAAGAGAAGGAGGCCAGATATTCAGCTATTATTTGTTCAATGACAGCTCTAAAAGGGCTCAGTGAATTACGAGCAAAAGCTTAGGGCAGAGGCATGGAGTTTATTTGCTTGGAAGAAAGTATCAGAAGACATTTGGACTCCTAAAGAGGCAGGAATGCATCTATGAGATACGAAAGCCTGTGTTAGTCTGAAGGTTCTGGGGGAGCCACATGGCCTTCTAACACTCAACGTCTGGGTACCATTGTCAATATTTCCTCCTCCCACCCTTTTCTCCCACACAAATTTATGCACAACTTAAAATGTCAGGCAGTTGTTAACACTTCTCCATGCTCCTCAGATTCTTGGATGAGCAAATGTCTGAAAGGGCATCTATGTCAGTAACTGAGGTATGTAAAAAGCTAAATCTGCCCTGTTGACTGGATGTGGCAGAGCTGGCATCCACTGTATCTACATTTCTCAGCCATTATATTAAACACATTTCTTTCTAACAATTTGGACCTCCAAAAATTCTCTTAGGTGTTATATATAAGTATACAGGCTACATATTGCATTGATTTCCTTGGGATTTGTGTTATGCAGCCCTGAAAGCCAAGTTATTAATGGTCTATATAACAATCAGAAAGTACCAAAGCATAATACCGTATCGTATAAAATAGCTGAAAAGATGATAAAATGCAAGGAGAGTCATTGTAGCAGAACACAGTGTTCCTTTCTCTGGGCTTTGTTCCCATTAAGGATTTAGAAATACTAGAGGGAGTCTAGAGGAGAACAAAAGTGAAATAATGAACTGTCAGGGGTTGATCCATGAAGTAAAAGTACACATTAAACTAGTCCACAATATACACATCAATAGCCCATATATTTGCCAGTCTTTGTGAATAAAGTTCCCATTCTCTAAAAGTGACTTGGTGATGCATTTAAAAAAAAAAAAAAAGTCTCATAGGTAAAAATGCAGACATGCAAATCTTAAAATTGTGTATGCAAATAAAACTACATAGGACAAGAGACAGTGATAGACAACATATGCAATCTATAAATATTTAGGGGTCTGGAAGGAATTTTTTATATTTTCTCATTTTCCATAAGAATAATGAGGTTGGTTTAAAAAAGAAGATTTTTAGCTTCTTTTATCAGAAGATGTTTATGACAGTGAAAAATAATACAAACTTTGGAGAAAACCAAACAATGCTAATTGAAACGTAGTGTTGAGGAAGGGAGGAATAGTCTTTTGGGTTATGCATTAATTTGTATAAGTTTTTAGATCAACAACAAATTTCACAGTAAATCTAGTGACACAGTGAGAGATACAGAAATGAAAAATAATGGTGCTAGTGTGCTGCTGACAGGCAGATGTGAAATCTTATAAAAAAATAAAGAGGCTGAATGCAACAGCAAATGCCATATCAGAACCTCCTTTAAACACAAAAAAAATCTGAGGATTCTCTACAGAACTTCCTACATCTATCTTGGGTGGTTTACTTACATGGTTTATGCAGTGTTTATGCACTAGCCTATCAAGGTATGTAAAAAAAAAAAAAAAAAAAAAAAAGAGGACAGATTACAGACAGATGACATCCAGGAGGAACAGTAACTCATATGGAGTATGAATTCTTTTTAACCCCTATGTTTTGCCAGAAATCTCTCATTTTCTTAACAAGTAGAGGATTATGGTTGAGAAGGAAACTGTACCTTCAAAAGCAAATAAACAAAGAAATAAAAAGAAAAAAAAAAAAAAAGGAAAGAAAAACAAACAAACAAAAAATGAAACAACCCCCCTACAAACTTCTCACTTTTACTATGATCAGACTTGAGGTGATAAACTGTTAAGTAGCAGGACAGATTTTGCAAAAAGTCAGCTGCCTCTCAGAAGACTTCTTTGTATGTAGGAAGTGATATAATGAATTTGGGTAGTAAGAAAAGCCTGTGAGCCTGCTGGAGCCATTTTATCACTAATCTATTACAATCTGTCTGTATGACACTTGCTAATCTGATTCTTTCACTCACTAGCTTGCTTCCACGCAAGTTTGTAGTGTTAGTTAATAATTATTTTTCTTTTGATATCCTGCTCATATAAAATTCATGAGATAATGCTCCTTAAGAAAGAGACTCTTTCTGTTCATGTGTGGCCCTGGGAGATTACAGAGAGATTCCAGAGACTACATGCCAGAGTCTCCTCTCTCTACACCATGTCTTTGTAATGTGGCTGAAGTGGACTTTTTTCCTAAAAGAGCATTGGAGTGTATCATAGTAACCAAAACCTAAAATATGCTGCTGCTCCTCAGAGCGATTACTGCATATCCCCCAGTTGTTGACTAAGATGTTTTCCCCTCCTGCCCATTCCCATGGGCAGATCTCAGAAAGCATCCCCTGGTAACAGTAGTGATCTAGTAAAAGTTGTTTCATTTTCCCATCCACTGCAGTTAGCTCAGATTCCAGATGCCAAAACTTTCCATAAGTCATTGAAGCTATCTCCTAAAATAAGGAAATTGCAGGGTCATTAGTTCAGTCCCATGAACTCATTACTAAAATCTCAAATTAGCCCAGGCCAGCTCTCTTGTCTTCAGTATTTTTGACCAATTTTAAATAGTTCTTTCTTCAGTACCCTGAGTCTTTACTGTATTTATCTGCCTCTTCTGAAAAAGCATAATTTATGGGTATCTAAGAATAAAGGAGTGGTTCTAATTTTTAAAATAGTTATAGAAGGAAAAAGGAAAGGGGAAGGGGAAGAGGAAGGGGAAGGGGAAGGGGAAGAGGAAGGGGAAGGGGAAGGGACAAGGGATTTAGTGCAGAGCCTAAAGAAACTTTATCTCCTATTTTACTACTGCATTCCAGTCCTTGACACTTAATATCAGTTTCACAGCATAGTTGATATTGGAAGGGACCTCTGGATGCCATCTTGTCAACATCCCCTATTCAAGCAGGGACACCCAGAGCAGGTTGTCCAGGACCATCTCCAGGTGGCTTTAGAAGAGTCCCAAGGAGACAGACACCACAGCCGCTCTGGGCAACCTGTG